CAACTTTGGTGATGACGGACACATGGCCTTTGGCATGAGTCAGGGTTTCCTAAATTTTTCAAAAATAAAATATTTAGGTGGCGACTATGTAATCTGGCAAAGCAGTCCAATTTTGGCATTATTTGATTCAAAATCTGATTTTTCAAAATGATTTGCCAAATTGGACTCTTTGGTGTTTATCAGTTTCACATTGCACTTTGTGAGACTAGATTCAGAACCGTGATAGGAGTTCGAACTGTAGGACCAATTCGAGCTCTTCGAAAAGGGGGCGCGAAGAAAGTCGAGCTACAATAGCCTTGATTTGATCTGGGCTTGCCTCAATGCCCCTTCTGGTAACCAAGTATCCTAAGAACTTACCAGACCCAACTCCAAATGCGCATTTCGAAGCATTGAATTGGAGCCGATATCTTCTAAGGATATCAAAAACTACTTTTAAGTCGGCTAGGTGATTCTCAGGTTCTTTGGTCTTCACGACCATGTCATCAATGCACACTTCCACTGTTTTGCCAATCAGATGTCTGAACATTTTGGTTACCAATCTCTGGTAGGTAGCTTCTGCCTTTTTCAACCCAAAAGGCATCACTCTGTAGCAATACAGCCCTTTTGGGATGATAAATGCAGTCTTCTCCTCGTCGGGAGGATACACTGCTATTTGATGGTACCCCTGTAAGCGTCCAGGAAGCTCATCCTTCCATGCCCTGAAGTGGCATCCACTAATTGATCGATCTTGGGGAGTGGGAAACTGTCTTTGGGACAAGCCTTATTCAAGCTGGTGAAGTCCACGCAGACCCTTTACTTCCCATTCTTCTTTTTCACAACAACTGTGTTTGATAACCAAGTTAGGTAGTTTACTTCCCAAATGGCTCTGGCCTCCAACAATTTGTCCATTTCCTCCTCTATTGCCTCCACATGAACCAATGTTAGCCTCCTTGCTCGCTGAATGACAGGTTTAGCCGACCTATCTACATTTAGTCTATGGCAAGTGACCTCGGGATCAATGCTAGGCATCTCGTATGGCGTCCAGGCAAACACCTCTATGTTTGCTAGCAAGAATGACTCTAACTCCTTCTTCTCCTCCTCGGCCAAGCTTGAGCCGAGAAAGAAGAAGTGCTTTTCATCCCGTCGTTGGACCAGGATCTTCTTTAAGGCTTCCTCGTATTTGTTGGCCAGCTCTTTGCCGACGTCATTCAGGACCTCCATGTCCTCATCCTTAATCTCAACTGCTTCGTTTCTCGCACATTGCAAGTGAATTTTATTACTGCCATAGAGCAATTCTTTTTCTGCACCCGATCCCCTTTGACTTCCTCAATTCCATGCTCCGTTGGGAACTGCAACAGCTGGTGCAGTGTTGAGGGAACAACCCTTACTGTGTGCAAACATGGCCTTCCCAACATGACATTATAAGGGGAGGGAGTGTCAATTATTGTGAACTCTGTGCTTACATTCTTGGTGCCTACATGCACCTCTAAACTTATTGCTCCCAAGGGCCATGTCGACATTCCATTGAACCCGACTATTAGGCTGTTGGATTGCTTCAAATCATCTCGATGAAGGCTAAGCTCCCCGTAATATCTGACATACATGATGTCACAAGAGCTGCCTTGGTCAATCAGAATGCGCCTTACCTAGCATTCTCCAATCTTGAGGGATACTACCAGAGCATCATTGTGTAGATGCTGCACCATATCTAGGTCGGCTTCAATAAAGGACACCATTGGTCCCTGGTATTCGTCCGTCCTAGGCCTCTTTTGCTGGACCTAATACACATGTGGTAAGTGCTTCACCCTCTGTGTCTTCCCACGCACCTCGCTCTTATTAACCCTTGAGTGAATCACATTGATCACTCAAGGCCTGTCTGTTTGCGGTTGTGGTGCTGGTGGAGGTGGTGCTGCCGCTGTCTAGGGTAGCCTTGCTTGCTTTTTTGTAATAACCCGACCCTCGTATGTGATTGTGTGATATATTTTAGTCTATTATTCTGAGCCTTCAAATACTTAATGTGAAATTTCAGGAGAAATTAAATTTAAGTACATAGATGTTATGAATTTAACATGTATCTATTGGGCAATGAGAGTATTTGTCACACCTAGAATGGGTAAATTAGAAATTGAGAGTCTTAGAGACTTAGTAATCTGAAACAGACGTCATATTTGGAAACGACATAATTTTTAGGTAATAATAAGCATATTTGCAGAAATTTGATTTGGGAATGATTAAACGATTGGATTTTGTCTTATTCCTCCTTTATAATATATATATATATATATAAGAGCTCTTGGGCCATTTGATCAAAAAGCCTTTTAAATTAAAATAGCTTCTAAGAAAAAAGACTAAGGGAGAGAAGAATTGAGAGAGTGGAGCATCAAGAAGGTTAGAGATTTGCAAATTGAAGTGTAAGGTATGTAGATGTCTATTTTGTTCTCATAATCATGTTACTTAAGGGTTGAGATTGTGGTGCTATGTGTGTGTAAGGAGGAGATTGGCAAGATAACCATATGTGTGAATGTTTGATTGAATTTGAAGTAGCTACAAGAAGCTACACTCCTTCCTCCAATTCTTTTGCTTGAATTCAATTATATGACATGGTTTTGTGCATATATGTTTATGTTAGAACCTCATGAGAGTGCATGTATTTATGAGTTTATGTTTGTGAGTTATGAACTTAAGAGTAATGATCTAACTTATACTCACTTGAAGCATGTATTTTGATTTTTAATCACATGAATTTGGGACTTTAGACTATCAATTTATAGTTGAATTTTGAGGCTCTAAACATACCTGTAAAAGGATAGAATTTTGAGGAAGTTTTCGGACTTTTTGTGCAGAATCGCCGCACGTGCGGGGGTCAAGGCCGCACGTGCGGGAACCCTAGCCGCACGTGCGGGAGTCATGGCCGCACGTGCGGGAAAAATGGCAAATTTAAGTGTTCTGCACTGCTAAAAAGGCACGTACGGGGCATCACTGCCGCACGTGCGGGAGACTTTACCGCACGTGCGGGGATCCTAGCCGCACGTGCGGCCCAGGCTGGGAAAAATGGGTTGCTCTATTTTGCGTGTTGGCTCCTCTAACGTTGTCGAAACCTGCAATTGATATTGTTATGATGTTCGTTAATTTAGTCGAAGTAAAATGAATCAAGAAGTGATTTAACAAGAAAGAGGAGAACTAATTTATCCGTTGTGCATGTGTAGGACACGCTTCAAGAGGATCAAGTGCCCCGCCGCAACACAGTGAGTAATAGTACTAGATGTACCTGAATCACGCTAAGTGTTACTGTTATTAATGTTGTCTTTAACATATATGCTACTTGGAAAGAGATGTAAAGTTATGAAGTTGAGAAACATTGTGAAGTTGTGAAAGTACCAAAAGAACTTGTGAAGTTATAAAATTCAGACAATGTGAAACTATGGAAACACCGAAAGAACTTGTGAAATATGAACCTATGAGGCCGAGAGCCAACTTGTGAAATATGAAATTAAGGGGCCGAGGGCCAAATTGTGAATTTATGATTCTAAGTTATGGAATTATGAAGCCAAGGGCTAATTGTGAACATGTGAACCCCTTAGGCCAAGGGCCAATCGATGAGATTGTGAACCGATAAAGTTGTTCGATAAATGTGTACAGATTCAGACTCGCTACATGATTTCCCCATTACTTACGCTTTTATATGTGTTACAATGTTAATGATGTATCGAAGCATTTTAATACTATTATTCACTAAGCCTGGCTCACTCTATGTTATGTCTGTTTCTGTAGGTAACCAAACTGGAGGTCGGTCCTAGCCCTATCACTGTCACACTTTTGTCAGCCTAAGCATAACCAAACCTTTAATTGAAGCTGTTCATTTTTGTGGTGTTTCGCTAAACTATAGCGTATACTCTTGTTTTGGCTTAGGAGGAAATGTATATAATGTTTTGTTCTGCGCCCAATCTTGGGGCTAGTTTTGTAGATGTATATATATATCTAGTTCTTTTGTGTATCCCTCATATCTACTAATTTTATACGGTATCTGTGATCCTGGCATGAAAGTAATCACTCAATGGGTGCCATACTTTTTTTTATTTTATGTTATCTTTTGATGATAATGCTTTCGTTCAGGCCCCTATGTTATATATATATATCAGGTTAAGTGTCTATTTCTGCATAGGTCATGCCCGACCTTTTAGGGGCAGGGTTGGGGCGTGACAGTGGTATCAGAGCACGAGTTGCTATCTCACACATGAATCCATTGAGCCTTAGGATGTCTAGAAAAGACTTAGGCATCATGCATGACATCCTAAAATGTATGAAAGTTCGATGGCAACGTTTAGTGTACTTTACTAATGTTAACAATTTGAATTATGTTATTAGATATACTTGAATGTTATGAAGGTTATGGTGAGAACAAGGACAGAAGATCTGGAAGATGTTACTGCAGCGCGGTTGGACCGAATGGAAAGGATGATGATGGAAATGGCGGAAACTTTAAGGCAACAACAACAACAACCGCAACCGCCACCGCCACCGCCACCGCCACCGGTACCCCCACCTGTAGTGCAGGATTTTCATGTTGAGGACTGAACTATTACACTCACAAAGGAGTTTAAGAAGATGAAGCCCCGTCATTCAAAGGAGGGATAGAACCACTGAAAGCTGAGGTGTGGGTGTTGGGAATCAAAAAGTTATTTGAAGTCTTTCCTTGCACCGAAGCCCAAAAGATGCAATTGGCTGCCTTCACTCTTGAGGATGAGGCGCGAAGATGGTGGATGCTCACAAGGACCATACACCCAGGATTAACATGGGGTAGATTTCTAGAGTTGTTCTATGACAAATATTTTCCCCAAAGAGTGCGGGATAAGAAGATGACAGAATTTGAAACTCTTAGACAAGGAAGTAAGACCGTGGCAGAATATGAAGCTCAATTTGCAGAATTGGCTCGGTTTGCGCCTCATATGGTAGATACGGATTATAAGAAAGCATAAAAATTTGAAGGGGGATTACGGGGTGCTATCCTAGACCGGGTCCATATGTTAAAGCTACCTACTTATGTCGATGTGCTAGAAAGGGCCGTTATAGCAGAAGGAAATCTTGCTGCTCAGAATCGGACTTCCGAGTGGAAAGGGAAGAGGCAAAACAATCAATGGTCAAGGGGATTAGTTACTCCACCAAATAAGAAGCTTAATTCAGGGAACTCCAGCACCACCACCCCTGCTCAAAACTCCAGCCCTGTGTGTCCAGACTGTGGAAGGCAGCATCGTGGGACTTGCCACTGGAAGACTGGAGCTTGTTTTAAGAGTGGTAAAACGGGTCATTTGGTAAGGGATTGTCCACAGTGGACTCAACAAAAGGGTACTAGGACTACCACTAGTTCCGCGGGATCTACACCAACCCCCAACGCAAAGGTAGCTGCTAAACCTACTAACAATAAAGACACTACAAGGCAAGGTAGAGTGTTTGCATTGGTTCTAGGAGATGTACAGAATGCGGCAACAGTGGTGTCAGGTACATTTATTGTTCATGGTCATTCTGCTCATGTATTGTTTGATTCTGGCTCCACCCACTCTTTTGTGTCAAAACTATTCGCTCCTAATTTAGATAAAACTAAAGAAAACTTGTCTTATATGTTATGTGTGTCTTCCCCTTTGGAAGACTCTATGATCTGTACTTCTATATACTTAGCTTGTGAACTTCAACTTGGGGATATTCGGGTGTATGCTAATTTGCTACCTCTCGACATGACCTACTTTGATGTTATTCTGGGAATGGATTGGCTGAGTGATTATGGTGCAACTATAAACTACTTGACTAAACAAATCAATTTCCACCTTCTGGGACATCTAGAGTCTATTGTTCAGGGACAAGAAGTGACTTCACCACCTTATCTGATTTCTGCAGTCAAGGCTTGTAAACTACTTCAGAAAGGGTGTCAGGGGTATTTCTGCAGTATTTTGGAGGGACAAGTGATGAATGGGGATATTGATATGATTCCAGTTGTTCGTGAATTCCGGATGTCTTTCCCGAAGAATTGCCAGGGCAACTGACAGAACGCGAAATTGAGTTTATAATTGATGTGGCGCCGGGAACTCAACCTATTTCCACGACTCCATATAGGATGTTGCCAGCTGAAATGAAAGAATTAAAGATTCAATTACAAGATTTACTCGATAAGGGATTCATCTGTCCGATTGTATCTCCTTGGGGTGCACCGGTTTTATTTGTGAAAAAGAAGGATGGCACACTTCGGCTATGCATTGATTATAGGGAACTTAATAAGGTAACAATCAAAAACAAGTACCCCTTACCACGGATTGACGATTTATTTGACTAGTTACAAGGGGCACAAGTTTTCTCAAAAATTGATCTATGGTCTGGGTGCCATCAAGTGAAGATTAAAGCTGATGATGTGGAGAAGGCAGCTTTTCGCACTCGGTACGGTCATTACGAATTTCTAGTTATGCTCTTTGGAGTTACTAATGCACCGGTGGCATTTATGGATCTAATGAATCGTGTTTTTAAGCCGTTCCTGGATGAGTTTGTGGTGGTCTTTATTGATGATATTCTTATTTACTCAAAAAGTGCAGAAGCTTATGAGGATCATCTCCGCCTAATCCTTTAAACACTCTGGGAGAAGAAATTGTATGCAAAGTTTAAGAAATGCGAATTCTGGCTACCGGAGGTGGCATTTCTGGGGCATTTAGTAACAAAGGAAGGAGTCTCCGTTGATCCACATAAAATTGAGGCGATTGTGAATTGGCCAACTCCTACCAATGTAACCGAGGTGCGTAGTTTCATGGGATTAGCCGGGTATTACAGGAGGTTTGTTCAAAATTTCTCCAAGATCGCCGTGCTGCTTACACAATTGACTCGAAAGGGAGTTGTATTTGAATGGTCAGAAGAGCGAGAATCTGCTTTCCAAGAATTGAAAACAAAGTTGATTACAGCACTAGTTCTGGCCTTACCATCCGGTACCGAAGGGTTTATCATTTACAGTGATGCTTCGCACAAAGGGCTTGGTTGTGTACTTATGCAAAAATGGACGAGTTATCGCTTATGCCTCTCGACAATTGAAACCCCATGAGAAGAATTATCCCACACACGACCTTGAGCTAGCGGCAGTGGGTTTTGCTTTGAAGATATGGTGGCACTATCTCTATGGCTCGACCTGCGAAGTCTACACTGATCACAAAAGTCTCAAATACCTCTTTACCCAGAAGGAATTGAATATGCGGCAGTGGCGATGGTTAGAGTTGATTAAAGATTATGACTTACAGATCCATTACCATCCTGGAAAAGCCAACACAGTTGCAGATGCACTTAGTCGGAAGAATATGGGAGATTTGGCAAACCTATTGACGGGGGAAAAGGAGTTGAGGGTTGAATTAGATAAAATGAATGTGGACTTTGTGGTACGTGGACAAGAGGCAGTACTAGCAGCAGCAATGACTCAACCGACGTTACTGGAAGAGATCAGGTTATATCAAATAGAGGATGACACTCTAAGAAAGATATGTGATGAATTAGAGACAAAACCAAGACTGCGGTTCAACTTTATGGATACGGTGCTTAAGTTTCAAAACCGAATATGTGTCTCCAATGTGTTGGAGCTTAGACGAAAGTTGATGGAAGAAGCGCATGCCTCGAGATTTTCAATACATCCGGGAAGTACTAAGATGCACCGGGATTTGAAGCAAAATTTTTGGTGGCCAAGTATGAAAAAAGAGATTGCGGAATTTGTTTCTAAGTGTTTGCAATGTCAGCAAGTAAAAGCAGAATATCAAAGACCAGCAGGCTTATTACAACCCCTTCCAATTCCGGAATGGAAGTGGGAACACCTGACCATGGATTTTATTGTGGGGTTACCACGAACTCCTCGAGGCATGAATTCGATATGGGTCATTGTAGACCGGCTAACAAAGTCTGCTCACTTTTTGCCAGTGAAAACTCAATATAATGCAGATAAGCTTGCAGTGATTTATGTAAACAAAATTGTAAGGCTTCACGATGTTCTGGTTTCAATTGTGTCAGATAGGGATCCCAAATTTGTTTTGAGATTTTGGCAAAGTCTGCAGGAAGCTATGGGTACGGAACTTAAGTTTAGCACAACTTTTCATCCTTAGACTGACGGTCAATCTAAGATAACGATACAGACTCTAGAAGATATGCTCCGAATGTGTGTGCTGGATTTTCAAGAAAGCTGGGAAATACATCTACTGTTGATAGAGTTTGCATACAACAATAGTTACCATTCGAGTATTGAGATGGCACCTTATGAAGCTCTGTATGGAAGACCATGTCGCTCCCCCACGTGTTGAGTTAAGGTTGGAAATAGATCATTATTAGGGCCTGAAATTGTCCAACTAACAACTGAAAAGGTTAAAATTATTCAGGAAAAATTGAAAACTGCTCAAAGTAGGCAGAAGAGTTATACGGATAACCGACGAAGAAATTTGGAATTTGAGGTGGGTAATCATGTTTTGGTAAATGTTACTCCAATGAAGGGACATCCCAGATTTGAGAAAAAGGGTAAATTGACACCCCGATATGTTGGACCATTCCAAGTTCTGGAGAAAATATGTTCGGTGGCTTACCGAGTTGCCCCCTCTCCTAGTATGAGTCAAGTAAATAATGTGTTCCATGTGTCTATGCTTCGAGGGTATCTTTCGGATCCGTCTCATATCATAGATTACCACCAAATTGTGTTAGATGATAAGTTAACTTATGAAGAAAAACCAATTCGAATTCTGGATCGGCAAGTGAAACAATTACGGAACCGGGAAATTCCAATGGTGAAAATTGAATGGCAAGAACATTATGGAACCGAAGCTACTTGGGAAAAAGAAGAGGAAATGTAACACCAATATCCACATCTATTTGCTTACAGGAAAGTGTATTTCACGCTCGAGTGACCTTGTTATATCAGTCCGTAAATTAGGGTTTCAGATCACTTTTTGCAGCCCCCTCTCTCTCTAAAACTTTCCAAATTTCCAGGTCTGGAGCTTCTCTCTCTAGAAGTCATCTTCTCTCTTTGATTTCTCCAAATCCATGGGTATTTAAGCCTAAGTTCTTCACCAAAGTTGGTTATCACCTCGAGGGCTTCGTTGTGTGTGGTGGAGATCGAGTTTCGACACCGTAAATTTTGGGGTTTCATCTCAGATTCTCTTCAAAACTTGAGGTAGGGATTTTCTACACTCCAATATGATTTTTAGCTTAGTTATTTGCTATTGTGTATAGATGATGAAATTTGGTTGTGGTTTGGACAAATCTAGGATTTGGGTGTGAAATGAAGAGAGAGGTTTTGATGAATATGAGGTAGATGAGTATGGGGCTTGAATATAAGATCATGTTGTGCCAAAATAGTTGATTTTGGTGTTTAGGTTGATATTTGGTGAAAGGGGGATTCTGCCCTAATTTTTATTAAATTATTATTTTGCATAAATAATTGGGATTAACATTGAAAACGTGAAATTGGAAGGTTGTGATTATAAATGGTGATATTGGATATGTATTATCTCACCTATGGAAGTTTTGAATAAACTATTTATTTTGATATTGAACATCTCTTTAGAAATAATTGCATTGGGCTATCGGTGGAGGATAGCTATGATTGTTGTAAAAATTACATGAAGATTAGGCGATTTAATGCTAATCCATTGTTGGTGTCATTGAATATGACCATGTTATAGATACATTGTATATGTATGTTTATTGGGAGGAGAAAGGGGATGTACTCCATATGTGATTATGTTTATAAATACATTGCATATGTATATTTGTTTGGGAGGAGAAAAGAGATGGACTCCATTTAAAGCAAGTTGGCCGGAGTGTCCTGGGTGAAAGACCTGAAATTTTATGTATAAATGGGTGCCGATTCCTTCGGACAAAATATCTGTAAAATGGCAGGTTTGAAGTGTTTATGTGAGTTTTGCATAATTGGAAAATCATTGAGTTGTAGTCTCATTTTGATTGTTGAAAGATAACGAATTTAACTCATGAATTGAGTAGCATATATGAACTGGAAATAAAATTAAAGGAAAATGGAATAAGGTTGGTTTTAGTGGCATATGGATATGCAGGTCTTGTGGATGTTTTAGGATCGGTATTGTTTATGTACGTGGTATTTATACCTTTGCTAAGCCTCATAAATTATGTTAGATTATTTCCACTAGGCTGTTGGCTCACCCTATATGGGAATACCTTTCTTAGGTACAGGTGAGATGTTTCTTCCAATGCAATAGCGTGGATGGAGTTTTGGGAAGCAAGAACTTCTTAATTATGCTTTATGTGTGTATGTTTGTTATTTGTAAAGCCAAGGGCTTAAGATGTAATGAGCGAGACTCAATTTGTGTAACTAAGCAATGACTTGGAAACATGTAAGCTTACATGGCATTTAACTGATTGTTAAACAGTGAATTCTGATATATAAAAGTATGTTGTTTCTTATATTTATTCCGCATATGAGTTATCTTTATATTATTTTGAGGGCGTAACATGTCATCACTTCAAAAAAATGACTACGTCGCTTGACAAGATATATATATATATATTTTTTTGAAAATTTAGTTATTATTTTTACTTTTCAGGGTTTTTGAAATTGAAACTGAAATCGTAAGTTTTTAGGAATTGACAGGATTTAGGAATGTGGGGGTATTTTAATAATTAAGATTGAATTAGAATGGTGTGAATTTAAACTCCTTAACTGACCATATAGGAATGGCATTTTGGTGATAGTTTCAAGTCTTAAATCATGGAAAGGACTGAGAGAACTAAAACTTCCAGAAAAATGGAAGTCAAGTGTTAAAAAATGAAGAGGATAATAGAACCTTCTCACAAAGTGACAATATGATTGTCCCTAGTACTTAGAATGCTCTTTTTTTTTTTTTCTTTTTTTGTCCTAGATTCAGATCATTAATATGAACATTCTTTTTTATTAATTTTGAGGTTGAGGTGAGGTGTAAGGCAGAAAACTGTAGGTCAAAGATGATTAAAGTACCTGACGGCCAAGTGACTGAATCTAAAGCCGGCCTTGCATGCTGCTACATACAAATGCGTTGATGTATGATAAGATTATGCAATTCCATTCTCAATTTTATTGTGAGTGGGAAAGAGATTCTCCACATCATTGCCCCAAGTCTATAGTACATTTTGTTTAAAAAATGTATGGTACATAGAAAATCAATGGTTCAGATTGAGCCACATCATTAAAAGTGACCTGGTAAGCAGGTCACTTTTTATAGTTATGAGCCAAAATCATATTTGTTCATAACTAGAATCAAATTAATCATAACTTAGTTATGAGCTCTCATCACATATCTCATAACCACATCTCATAACCAGCACCATTTTGTTGATAACCAATATCATATACTTCATAACTACAATCACATATCTCATAACTACATCTCATAACCAATATCCTTTAGCTCATAATCACACCACTTTGATCATAACCAATATCGCATATCTCATAACTACTACCCATATAACTCATAACCACATCTTATAACCAATCCCCCTTTGACTCATAACCAACATTACATATCTCATAATCAACACCCTTTTGCTCATAACCACATCACTTTGATCATAACCAATATCACATATCTTTATTTGAAGGGA